GTCCCGAACTACTCTCTCGGGGACAACGGTCTTGTGTACTGGCACGGTTCACAAGGCACCAGAGAGCCCCGTATTTGTGTTCCCTCCACTGGACAGCTACGTGTCCGAGCAGTAGCAGAGTTCCATGACCAGGCAGCTGCCGGTCATATGGGCTTCCACAAGACGTTGGCTCGTGTGAGCCGACTGTACGTCTGGCCGAAGCGCAAGGACTTTGTGAAGGACTACGTCGCAGAGTGTCCCACCTGTCAGGAGGTGAACAGTGCAAACCACCTACATTATGGTTTGCTCCAGCCTCTTCGTATCCCTGAGGGTCGTTCGCAGTCCATCTCGATGGACTTTATCGGTCCTCTTCGACCTCCGACCCCCCGCGGTCATGATGCTATCCTGGTCGTCGTCGACCGCTTCACGAAGCGTGCACGCTTTGTTCCGTGCCGCTATGCCATCAGTGCACGTGAGGTCGCCGACATCGTATTTGACCGAGTCTTGCATGACCACGGCTTACCTCTGAGCATCATATCTGACCGTAACCCGTGCTTTACCAGCCGATTCTGGCGACGGCTCCACGAGGTGTACGGCACTCAGCTCCGCTTCTCCTCGTCTTACCATCCTCAGACTGATGGTCAGAYCGAGATCACGAACAGGACTCTCGGGGATATCCTCCGAAAGATTATTCGTGACGATCAGCAGTGGGATCTCCATCTTGCCCACGCGGAGATAGCCTACAACCACGCCGTCTCGCCARCCACGGGGATGTCGCCTTACTAGTGCGACCTCGGCTATCACCCGCGTGTTCCCGCGGACTTCCTTCGACCGTCCCAGATGCACCCCGACGCGAGTTGTCCCGCGCTGGATGATTGGGTTGCACACATGACGTCGATTATGAAGACCGCACATGAGCACATAGCCGCTTCCCAGACTCGCATGGCAGCACGTGCGAACCGATCGAGGATGGATCACCCATTCAAGGTCGGTGATGATGTGCTTATCGACGCCCGCCACTTACAGCTCGAAGCGGACACGCTTCGCAAGTTTCGGCGTCGCTTCTTTGGCCCATGCCGCATCCTCCAGGTCGTCGGTTCTAATACGGCATCTAGCCCGGTCATCTTTCGTGTGAAGCTGCCCGACTAACTACGCCAGGCTCGTGTGCATGATGTCTACCACGTCTCGTTACTGCGTCCTTACCGCAGACCGTCTGAGCGTTTCGCTGGACGACCATACGAGCGCCTTCCACCCATCATGGTGGACGGCCACGAGGAGTTCCTCGTTTCAGATATCATTGGTCGCCGAGTCACCGATGACAACCCTCCCCACGTCGAGTATCTCGTACGTTGGAAGGGTTACCCTGATAAGGAGGCTACATGGGAGCCCCTCGAGCACTTGCAGCACGCTCGCATGTTGGTGCGTGCCTATGACCGTGCTCGTCGTGTTGGGTTGACTGCTCCTCCTCAGCCCACTGACCCTCCTCCTTCTCCTCCGGCTGAGGAGACCGCTGAAGTYGAGCCTGCTCYATCTGAGGCAGACCTTCAGCAGCAGCCGGATGCCTCTGAGCGTCCACAGCGCACTCGTCGTCGTCCTGCTCGATACGACGATTGACTCTGACTTACCTTCCCACGTCTTTGACTTCTCAGTACTCCATCCACATCAGTTTTGCTACTTCAGCTCGTCGACGCTGCGGCTCTTCCTCGACGGCATTCCGGACTTCTCATCGTGGACGTCATCGGCGGCTTCATGGACTTCATCACGATCAACTCTACCTACTTCAGACGTCGCCACTCTCTTACCACTCTASCCTGTACAGTGCCCTGCTTGTGTCACATGATGGTCTCCCTTTAGCCGGGTTCCTCTGAGTTGGGCTCTCCCTTGGTATACGCATAGGCATCGRGACCGTAGCGTTGCCCTGGCTTCCCATCTTACGGATCTAGCTCCGACTTCCCTCACTTTAGGAGTCATTTGTATGATTCCCTTACCCATCATCTTTCTACCCTTCGCCGGCCCTCACGCCCTAGTTAGGCAGCCCCACATGCTTCACTAGGTGCGTCCAGTATACCAGGCTCCCTTGTTCCCTTGCATGATCGACCCTCCATAGCGGTCACCCCTTAGTCGAGCATTACCCGCCCTTATGGTCTCTCTGTTAGGGTCATTGGTTCTGTTCGCTCCCAATTCCCTACCCTCATTGAGCCTAATGACATGTGTTTTCCCTTGTCACTATGTGTGGATGCCCTTAGGAGTTTACGACCCCTAGGCTGCATTCGCCACCCTCAGAGACCATCCCACCCTTTGGTGTGCGACACACTTCTCATGTGACATATGGTTGTCTTGTTGATTGCTTTGTTGCTCTCAAACTGAGGCTACTGCCTCCGACGTTTTTAGGATTTAGCTGTCCTGCTTTTGTTGTTCTTAGGACTTATACACTAGTCAGTTGTTACCAGACTAAGGTTAGTGCCTCCAACATTCTAGGATCTAGTTGTCACTACTTTTTGCTTTCCTATGACATGTATGTTAGTTAGTTGCTCCTACTTTCACTTAGGCTGTTAGCTGTGACATTGCTGTTTTGTGACATTTTATATCCTAGGTTGCATCGCATGGACTCAGCATGGAGCTTGCTACGCATCCTAGACTACCGAGGTTTTCTTTTCTTTGGTAGAGTTCCGCTTCTTGGCGGAAGCATGTTTGTATCTAGGCGATCCATCACAGGCCGAGGATCGTGTAGCGGACCTCGGGTTGGCCTGTGAGACCAGCCCCTTGGCCTGTTCTCACAGGTCTGTGTTATATTCGGGGTAGGCCAGTCCAGGCCGGTAACTCTGTCGGTACCAGCCAGTCCAGTCCAGTCCCGTCAGTCCGCTGGGGTATACCCCAGCCATTGTCTGTTTTCAGTCTCATTCCTCACTTGCACATTTTGGAGTACGTGCGTTGGAGTCTTGCGTGGGGAGCTGCGTTGTTCCATCTTGCTCCCCCTTCTTCCTCCATCTCCATCTCTGTCACTAGCGGAGCCCCACACCTTGTAGGTCCGCTACAGAAGGACTGTGCCATGCGGGCGAGCGTGGCTTGCATGCTTGGGCCAAGCGGGGTGACACCTCTGTATGGTTTGGAGGTGTGGGGTGACGGACTGCCCACACAAGAAGGGTGCAGAGAGAGAGAGAGAGAGAGAGAGAGAGAGAGAGAGAGAGAGAGAGAGGAACGGGGATATGGTAGAACAATGCCTTTCTTCTCACCTTCTGTGAAATTTTGACTCCAACATTGGACAACTTTGTTGCGGCGGTGTTGGATTTCTATGCCAATCATCTCGGATTCTCTGTTTTGTATGTATGTATGCATGCTGATGAACGAACTCATATCTCCTTTCTCGAGTTGTTTTTGATTTCCAATTTTGTTTTGTTAGCCATCTGCGCTGAGTGCACAGCGATCCGCGAGGTTTTGGTTCCCCCAGATCGGGCCGGATGCGCCCGGTGCGCATGCCCTGCCTGACCACTTGCTCTTAGTTCATGCATGATTACAGGAATGATGATCATGATCTGATGTATTGGTCCTTAATGCTGGACAATCGCTTTTTTGCTGCATGATGGTATGGACACGTATGTAATGATTGGATCTCACTCGGAATGATGATGGTTGCATGAGAAGGATAATTGCATGCATACGGGATAGACCGACGCACGGACAAAAGCGACTACCACCGACTTATCCACGCGACAAGATAGGATCTGAACAGTCTGCCTACGCAAGCGCCCATGCATGACAGCAAGTCCGGCAGCGGAGTGTGCAACATACACGCACGTCTGCGTAAGCCCAACTGCGATATCGCTTCGTTAGGAAATGAATGTAATTATCGTCTATCGAGTAGGATATGGCAGTGGAAACTCCCTCAAGGTCACTGACCGCGATAGCCTAAGGAACCAAGAGTATCGAACGTATTGGGAGAGGGAACAGCTTAAGCGACGACGAAACTCCCGGAATCCTGACTACCCGTGTCAGACTGAGAATGATCGAATGTGCGGGAGCTTAAACAGTGGGCCATAAACCAGGATTCTCGTATTTCGGACTATCCCGACACCCGCAATAGGCAGTATTATCTAACCCCAGACTTCGTCATAATTACTACCCATTTTCCTCCCTATTATATCCTCCTCCTTTATCATCACCTAACGGTTGTCCCGTGGGACTCCATAGCTCGTTACTGGACCACACACCGTGCCCGGAGTGCCAGCAATACAACGAGTATCGCGAAGCAGGGTTCATCCGACGAACCCGCTCCGACGCAGAGCTTCAGGAACACAGTCTCCGACTACGACCGTCCTCATCAGACTTTGAGACGTACACTGGCCGATGGCAGTACATGCGCTCTTAGAGAAATACTCATAGCATTCCTCCTGTACATCAAATACGTCCCTGGTCGGGCCGGCCCAGGCCGCGAGATCGGCGATCGCCCCGATACTAAGCTAAAATGAGACTCTTGCACTCCTACCCCTGAAACTTGACGCTGGAGATTCCAGTTCCGACCTGGGACTCCATCCCCACTTTCCTAAAATCCTTGGCACACCCCTATTCGCACTTCCAGGCCCACTAACACTCTGAAACAGGAAGTCGCGTTGTACGTGAGGTTGGGCGTCACAGCGCACCTTAGCGAGCGCGCTCGGATTTCTTTTACTCAACTTTTCTTACTCCAGAAATTGTGGATGACATCGGGATACTTGGCAATGAACACTTTCAAAGGTGCCCCTGCAAGCCCCGTTATTAATTTTTTTTTATGAATGTTAGAATAGGAATAGGCACGCGATTTCGTACATTTTCGATTTCACACATAGAATTCTCTGTCGAACTTTTCAATTTCAATTTGGCTTTAGGAATTAGGCGCGACTTCACTGGTATTTCGTGTAACTATTTTGGTGCTTTTTTTATTCTTCCCGCATGCATCTTTCTGTGCCAACTTCCTCGCTTCCCCCAACCTCCCTCTTCACACAATTGGAGGCAAGTTGTAATTATCTTTGTTCCCCTCTCTTTGCGCTCTTTTCTTCTTCTTGCTTCCATAGAACCTTGGTCTTGCTCTACTCCATTTTTCATATCCTCCTTTCCAGCCTTCCTCTACGCGTAGGAAATCCCCGCTGATCCCCAAAGTACTCGTAGAAGATGGACGACAACGTGTAAGGGAGTTGTGAACTCCTCACTCTGCCATCCGATTGACTACATAGTACTCTACACGGATCGACATGGCTCCTTCTCATGATTTTCCCTTCCCCATCTCCTCCTTCCGTATTCTCTTCTCCCCTTCTTCGCAACTATAAATCTTGCAAGCGCGTCACCTTATCTCTCTCAAACTACATCGGCCACCTCTAGTGGAGTAGTGGCTAGATGAGGTGGTGATCAACACTTTGGAAAGTCCTAACGAGTTACTTGCAACTTTGCGGGGTTGCATGCTGGATCGCTGCGACGGGCTGCAATATCCGGGCGGATTTGCATAGTCGTTCAGCAGACAGGGTGACGATGGTTGGGTTTAGTGCTGGGTACATGGCAGTCGGGACGGTCGGTGCTCGAGCCAAGGAAAGTGTGTTGATTGATGGATGGCTTGGGGCCATTGCCTTCCTTGTTCTTCTTCCTTTTACTGGAGTTTTATCTGGCGGGGCGTCAGTTCTTCCTTCTAGACTCGTGCTTGTGTATGTCTCTCTCCTTTTCTCCTCTCTCGCTATTTGTGCATGTCATGTCCGACACCGCACAATGCTTACGTAAATATCTACCTTTTATACCATCTCAGGTGTAACTTGTACAAACTGCAATAATACGCTCGAATATCCTGGTAAGGGTATTCACGCCGACACCGCGTCATGTTCATATGGTCG